GAGAGACGGTCCGTGTACGATGAGACCCCTCTCCCCTCTCCACGGGTCGTACCCAGGCCATGCATAGTGAGACCCCTCTCCACGGGTCGTACCCAGGCCGTGTATAGTGAGACCCCTCTCCACGGGTCGTACCCAGGCCGTGCATAGTGAGACCCCTCTCCACGGGTCGTACCCAGGCCGTGCATAGTGAGACCCCTCTCCCCTCTCCACGGGTCGTACCCAGGCCATGCATAGTGAGACCCCTCTCCACGGGTCGTACCCAGGCCGTGTATAGTGAGACCCCTCTCCACGGGTCGTACCCAGGCCGTGCATAGTGAGACCCCTCTCCACGGGTCGTACCCAGGCCGTGCATAGTGAGACCCCTCTCCCCTCTCCACGGGTCGTACCCAGGCCGTGCATAGTGAGACCCCTCTCCACGGGTCGTACCCAGGCCGTGCATAGTGAGACCCCTCTCCCCTCTCCACGGGTCGTACCCAGGCCGTGTATAGTGAGACCCCTCTCCACGGGTCGTACCCAGGCCGTGCATAGTGAGACCCCTCTCCCCTCTCCACGGGTCGTACCCAGGCCGTGCATAGTGAGACCCCTCTCCACGGGTCGTACCCAGGCCGTGCATAGTGAGACCCCTCTCCCCTCTCCACGGGTCGTACCCAGGCCGTGCATAGTGAGACCCCTCTCCACGGGTCGTACCCAGGCCGTGCATAGTGAGACCCCTCTCCCCTCTCCACGGGTCGTACCCAGGCCGTGTATAGTGAGACCCCTCTCCACGGGTCGTACCCAGGCCGTGCATAGTGAGACCCCTCTCCCCTCTCCACGGGTCGTACCCAGGCCGTGCATAGTGAGACCCCTCTCCACGGGTCGTACCCAGGCCGTGTATAGTGAGACCCCTCTCCCCTCTCCACGGGTCGTACCCAGGCCGTGCATAGTGAGACCCCTCTCCACGGGTCGTACCCAGGCCATGCATAGTGAGACCCCTCTCCACGGGTCGTACCCAGGCCGTGCATAGTGAGACCCCTCTCCCCTCTCCACGGGTCGTACCCAGGCCATGCATAGTGAGACCCCTCTCCCCTCTCCACGGGTTGTACCCAGGCCGTGCATAGTGAGACCCCTCTCCACGGGTCGTACCCAGGCCGTGCATAGTGAGACCCCTCTCCACGGGTCGTACCCAGGCCGTGCATAGTGAGACCCCTCTCCACGGGTCGTACCCAGGCCGTGCATAGTGAGACCCCTCTCCCCTCTCCACGGGTCGTACCCAGGCCGTGTATAGTGAGACCCCTCTCCACGGGTCGTACCCAGGCCGTGCATAGTGAGACCCCTCTCCCCTCTCCACGGGTCGTACCCAGGCCATGCATAGTGAGACCCCTCTCCCCTCTCCACGGGTCGTACCCAGGCCGTGCATAGTGAGACCCCTCTCCCCTCTCCACGGGTCGTACCCAGGCCGTGCATAGTGAGACCACTCTCCACGGGTCGTACCCAGGCCGTGCATAGTGAGACCCCTCTCCACGGGTCGTACCCAGGCCGTGCATAGTGAGACCACTCTCCACGGGTCGTACCCAGGCCGTGCATAGTGAGACCCCTCTCCCCTCTCCACGGGTCGTACCCAGGCCGTGCATAGTGAGACCCCTCTCCCCTCTCCACGGGTCGTACCCAGGCCGTGCATAGTGAGACCCCTCTCCACGGGTCGTACCCAGGCCGTGCATAGTGAGACCCCTCTCCACGGGTCGTACCCAGGCCGTGCATAGTGAGACCCCTCTCCACGGGTCGTACCCAGGCCGTGCATAGTGAGACCCCTCTCCACGGGTCGTACCCAGGCCGTGCATAGTGAGACCCCTCTCCCCTCTCCACGGGTCGTACCCAGGCCGTGCATAGTGAGACCACTCTCCACGGGTCGTACCCAGGCCGTGCATAGTGAGACCCCTCTCCACGGGTCGTACCCAGGCCGTGCATAGTGAGACCACTCTCCACGGGTCGTACCCAGGCCGTGCATAGTGAGACCCCTCTCCCCTCTCCACGGGTCGTACCCAGGCCGTGCATAGTGAGACCCCTCTCCACGGGTCGTACCCAGGCCGTGCATAGTGAGACCCCTCTCCCCTCTCCACGGGTCGTACCCAGGCCGTGCATAGTGAGACCCCTCTCCACGGGTCGTACCCAGGCCGTGCATAGTGAGACCCCTCTCCACGGGTCGTACCCAGGCCGTGCATAGTGAGACCCCTCTCCACGGGTCGTACCCAGGCCGTGCATAGTGAGACCCCTCTCCACGGGTCGTACCCAGGCCGTGCATAGTGAGACCACTCTCCACGGGTCGTACCCAGGCCGTGCATAGTGAGACCCCTCTCCACGGGTCGTACCCAGGCCGTGCATAGTGAGACCACTCTCCACGGGTCGTACCCAGGCCGTGCATAGTGAGACCCCTCTCCACGGGTCGTACCCAGGCCATGCATAGTGAGACCCCTCTCCACGGGTCGTACCCAGGCCGTGCATAGTGAGACCCCTCTCCACGGGTCGTACCCAGGCCGTGCATAGTGAGACCCCTCTCCACGGGTCGTACCCAGGCCGTGCATAGTGAGACCCCTCTCCACGGGTCGTACCCAGGCCGTGCACGGTGGTCTGGTAACTACTGCATCTTTAACACCCCCTAACTAGTCAGCTCTCATATGTAAGTTGGTGACGATATGCTCAGAAGGCGGTCAGGAAAAATTACTATTGCAGGCCCCTTGTGTCCGTAGATGTGGAGTAAGACACCTTGTGTCCGTAGATGTGGAGTAAGACACCTTGTGTCCGTAGATGTGGAGTAAGACACCTTGTGTCCGTAGATGTGGAGTAAGACACCTTGTGTCCGTAGATGTGGAGTAAGACACCTTGTGTTCGTATATGTGGAGTAAGACACCTTGTGTTCGTAGATGTGGAGTAAGACACCTTGTGTTCGTAGATGTAGCGAAAGACACCTTGTGTCCGTAGATGTAGCGTAAGACACCTTGTGTCCGTAGATGTAGCGTAAGGCACCTTGTGTCCGTTGACCCCTCTGTGGTGTCGCCTTGTCGTGGTGAGGGGCTCACGTACACCTGCCTGGGACCGGTGTACGTGAGTTCATCCCCCTCTCCAGCCCCTTTTTGGGTGTTGTACATGCAAAAGGCCCCTCTCCTCGGGTCAATGCTCCCCTGTACGTGCAAAAGGCCCTCTCTTCCTCGGGTCAATGCTCCCCTGTACGTGCAAAAGGCCCTCTCTTCCTCGCACCACCGTTGGGTCCTTGTGAGTCACTGAACCACCTGCTGGAGGGGCCTCCCGTGAGGGGCCTCCCGTGAGGGGCCTCCCGTGAGGGGCCTCCCGTGAGGGGCCTCCCGTGAGGGGCCTCCCGTGAGGGGCCTCCCGTGAGGGGGCCTCCCGTGAGGGGCTGCCCTGAGTGGATGGCTGGGTGTCCAGGCTGGGACGAAAGGGAGAATGAGATCTTTGCACCAATATGGGAGAATAGAGGAGGCTGTAGGACTCCCCTGTTAAAAAGGGGGAGCACCGCTGGAGACGATGTACCTCTTTTTGCGAGGCCCTACACTAGGCCTCCTTGACTGCCCTGATAGGTGGTATCCCTTGGTATCCCTTGGTATCCCTTGGTATCACCTTTCTTCACACTCTCATTCCATTCCCGTCCGTCTTCACTGATGGGGCTAAGTCTGCAGGCAGTGTGGTTATCTTAAGGTTATCTTGAGATGATTTCGGGGCTTTAGTGTCCCCGCGGCCCGGTCCTCGACCAGGCCTCCACCCCCAGGAAGCAGCCCGTGACAGTTGACTAACACCCAGGTACCTATTTTACTGCTAGATAACAGGGGCATAGAGTGAAAGAAACTCTGCCCATTGTTTCTCGCCGGCGCCCGGGATGGAACCCGGGACCACAGGATCACAAGTCCAGCGTGCTGTCCGCTCGGCCGACCGGCTCCCCCCCCCGGTGTGGGCTACTCTGTTGTTTTCCCTGACCACACCTATATGTGTCGCCTTCCTCCGGAGACTAGCATCATCACGGCAGAACTTTATGCTATTCTCTATGCTCTTCATCAACTGCTTTCTTGCTGTCAATCTTCCTTTGTTGTTGTTGTTGTAGTTGACTCCCGTAGTGCCCACATGGATTAGGAGTCCTTTAATGCAGTCCATCTGGTGGTAGTCGAGATTCAACATTGGCTCTTTCTCATCTCCAGTAGATTTAAGACAGTGGAGTTTTGTTGTGTTCCCAGCCATAATGGTGTGTCTTTAAATGAGCGTGCGGACACTGCCGCTAAGGAAGATATTCGCACTTGTCCCATCTCCCGTAAAGGTGTTCCTTATTCTGACTTTTACCCAGTTATTCATTCCTCCATCCTTGCCCGTTGGCAGCGTTGTTGGTCTTCTGTTATTTGTAACAAACTGCGTACTCTTAAGAGTAGTGTGTCGCAGCGGCCTTCCTCCCACCACCGTAACCAGTGGTGGGAAACGGCTCTGGCAAGGTTGCGTATTGGCCATACACATTTAACTCACAGATACTTAATGGAGCGCCGCCCTGCTCCTTATTGTCCAAACTGCATTGTCCCTCTTACGGTCTTGCATATTGTGTCCTGACATGTTGAATGTCCTGACTTTTGGGACAAGCGTGTGTCTAGCTTCCCTACTGTCCCTTGCGGCCATTTGTCCCTCAATAGAATTCTTGATGAATCATAATAGATACTTATGATATCGTTTCGTCTTATGCATTTCTGTTCCCCTATTTGGAATCTTTATCTTAGTGATATTTAGCGTCCTCTGAATATTCCGCACATTTGATGGTGCTACATAGCCTTCCCGACTTGGTGCCTTCTTTTGATATTTACTGTCTGTAGATGTAGAGTAAGACACCTTGTGTCCGTAGACGTTGAGTAAGACACCTTGTGTCCGTAGACGTTGAGTAAGACACCTTGTGTCCGTAGACGTTGAGTAAGACACCTTGTGTCCGTAGACGTAGAGTAAGACATACCTTGTATCCGTAGATGTGGAATAAGACATACCTTGTGCCAGTAGATGTAGAGGAAGATGGCAGCTATGCCTGCCGTCTCTGAGGCCAAGAAGGCAGGCATGAGGAGCAGGAAACACCAGCCATATGTGTAGGTGAAGCGAGGTGGCTGGAAGCTGGAGCGGGGCCTCAGCTTGTCACCAACCTCGCCCTTAAGCGTGGCTATGTACACCACCACTCCCACCATCATCACCAGACCTGTAGGGGCGAGACTCGTTACCTACCTCGCCCTTGAGCGTAACTCTCAAGGGCGAAGGAACTCTCTCTCTCTCTTGAGAGAGAGAGAGAGAGAGAGAGAGAGAGAGAGAGAGAGAGAGAGAGAGAGAGAGAGAGAGAGAGAGAGAGAGAGAGAGAGAGACACACACACACACACACACACAGAGAGACACACACACAGAGAGAGAGACACACACAGAGAGACACACACAGAGAGAGACACACACAGAGAGACACACACACAGAGAGAGACACACAGAGAGAGACACACACAGAGAGAGACACACACAGAGAGAGACACAGAGAGAGAGAGACACACACAGAGAGAGACACACACAGAGAGAGACACACACAGAGAGAGACACACACACACAGAGAGACACACACAGAGAGACACACACACACAGAGAGACACACACAGAGAGACACACAGAGAGAGAGACACACACAGAGAGACACACACAGAGAGAGACACACACAGAGAGACACACACAGAGAGAGACACACACAGAGAGAGACACACACAGAGAGAGACACACACAGAGAGACACACACAGAGAGACACACACAGAGAGAGACACACAGAGAGAGACACACACAGAGAGACACACACAGAGAGAGACACACACAGAGAGAGACACACAGAGAGACACACACAGAGAGAGACACACACAGAGAGACACACACAGAGAGACACACACAGAGAGACACACACAGAGAGAGACACACACAGAGAGACACACACAGAGAGACACACACAGAGACACACACAGAGAGAGAGACACACAGAGAGAGACACACACAGAGAGAGACACACACAGAGAGAGACACACACAGAGAGAGACACACACAGAGAGAGACACACACAGAGAGACAGACAGAGAGACACACACAGAGAGACACACACAGAGAGACACACACAGAGAGACACACACAGAGAGACACACAGAGAGAGACACAGAGAGAGAGAGACACAGAGAGAGACACACAGAGAGAGACACAGAGAGAGAGACACAGAGAGAGACACACAGAGAGAGACACACAGAGACAGACAGAAAGAGACAGAGAGAGACAGAGAGATGATACTCTCACCCTTGACTGTGTGGAACATAGGGGAGAAGGATTAGAAAGATGAAGGATAGTGGGAGGGGGGGAAGGGAGAGTGAAGATAATGGAAGAACAACGCAGGGATGGATGGGAAGGGATAGGTTAAGAACTGTGAGGGGTGAGACGGGGGGGGGGGGGTGTAGTGAGACAAGAGGGGTGAGCACCAGTAAGCCTGCTGGGGTCCCTTTGAGCCCCTTGCAACAATAGCTTGTTGCATCTGTTGTTCATGTTGAAATATAACCAAAGTATATTTATTATTATTTAATAATATATATATATATATATATATATATATATATATATATATATATATATATATATATATATATATATATATATTGTGACGGTAACGCGTTGGTGTTCGGCTGTTTAAGGCTAGGGGTATGGCCTCGTCACATAGTTATAAAAAAAAATAGAAAAACTGGAACTTCGTCTGTGGTAAGGTAAGGAGAAGACACACAAAACACAAGTAAAACTTTAACAATGAAATTTTAATTACGTTAAATAAATCAAAACATGAATAAAATGCACAAACAAATTCTTATAATAAAATCAATGAATCAAAATAATAAGAATACTTAAATGACACAATGAAAAGTTACGTTAAGGCAAAATAACAAGAAGTGCAACACAAAGTAAAATGGGAGGTGCTGGAATATTGGCTTAAAGCCACCACCTCTCTCAGTACACGCTAGAGTCTAGCTGGGAGGAGTGGTGACCACGAGAGCACTGAACATTCTGAGGACTGATGTTGGGGCGACCCCAGACATCAGGTAGTATTGGGGGGGGGGCGAGGCAGGTGCAGCCAGACCGGCGACCAATCAGCGGAGTCGTAGCGATCAACATGTAGTTTGGTGATTTGGGTCCGAACAGGTGGCTGGCTGCATACGTTTTTGCTCACCCTGGCAAGCCTTGCTGGTGCTGTTGTCGTTGTTGGACATTTCTTCCATAGTCTTTTTATATAATTGTGAAGACGTAATTATGGAGGGAAGAGCAGGCTAAATCTCTTGAAGGAGATTATCGTCACAACTCTCCCCCGAAGCCTGCGGTTCTGGAAGAAGTACGTCGTTATGTGGTGGAGTAATGGATGGAGTTGCTTCTACTTCATAAACTCTGGAGAGGGCATCGGCTATGGTGTTGTCAGAACCCTTGATATAGCGGATCTCCAGGTTGAAGTCTTGTAAATACAGAGCCCATCGTAGAAGACGCTGGTTGGTGAATTGGGCTTGATGTAGGAAGCGGAGAGGGTTGTGGTCTGAGAAGATGGTGGTAGACCTGGCGCCTTGTAGGTACGGAGCGAAGTGTTGGAGGTTCAGGACGATGGATAGTAGCTCCTTTTCAATAGTGCTGTAGTTCCTCTGGTGTGGTTTCAGTTTGTAGCTGTAGTAGCTGACAGGTAGAACCTCCTCGCCTCGTAGTTGCATCAGGACACCACCAACGCCGGTACCACTGGCGTCGACATGAAGGACGAAAGGCTTGGTGATATCTGGAGAGGCGAGAATAGGGTTAGAACAGAGGAGGAATTTGAGTTGTTCAAAAGCAACGGTTTGCTGCATGGTCCAATTATACCGTTGCTTGGGACTGGTTAATAGAATTAGAGGTGTGGCGACTGTACTGAAATTCCTCACAAACCTACGGTAGTAAGAGGCAAGACCAAGGAAGCGCAGGAGCTGCTTCCTGGTGGTAGGCTGTGGATACTGTTGGATGGCTTGCGTGTGCGAGTCTAACGGAGCTATGCTGCCACTCCCAATAACATGACCCAGATAACGCACTTTACCTTTCGCGAAAGTGGACTTGCCCAGGTTGATGGTGAGGCCGGCTGTCAGGAGCTTGGAGAACAGACGTCGCAGCTGGAGCAGATGTTCACTCCAGGAGTTGGAGGCTACGACGATATCGTCCAGGTAGGCGTATGTGTTATCCAAGCCCTGGATGACACGGTTGACAGCTCTTTGAAAGGTGGCCGGGGCATTACATAGTCCGAAAGGAAGGCGTTCATATCTGAAAAGTCCAAAAGGAGTGATGAAGGCAGATATCTCTTTAGCGTGCTCCGTTAGACACACTTGATAGTACCCCTTAAGCAAGTCCACTTGGGACAAGTACTGGGCACTACCAATGGCATCAAGGATGTCATCTATCCTTGGCAAGGGGTAAGCATCCTTGACAGTGACAGAGTTCAGTTTACGATAGTCAGTGCACAACCGCACCTTACCTTGGGGTTTGGGCACCAAGATACAGGGTGAGGCCCAGGGGGACTCACAAGGTGTAGCCAGTCCATGGTCCAAGAGGTACTGCACCTCAGCACGCATGACTTCCTTCTTGCTCGGGCTGATTCGGTAGAAGGGTTGACGAATCGGCCGGGTGTCGGGGAGCAGTTGGATGTCGTGCTGGGTAACATTACACTCTTGGGGATCATCTCTGAACAACTCTTGATGTTCTCTGAAGATCTTGACGAGAGGTGCACTATGATTATCCTGAAAGTATTTGGGAAGATCATTAAGGATTTCGGAATTAGAAAGCGCTGACTCCTTGTCAGTGCTTTCGGGAGGAGAAGCTGGGAAGGTCTCACTGTGGATGTAGGGTTCTGTGAATGTGGAATAGTTAGTCAAGACAGTGGGAGGAGTACCATTATATTGCTTCAGGAGGTTGACGTGGCACAGCTGGGTCTTCCGCCGCCTATCTGGAGTCTCTATCACATAATTATTATTATTCCTGCACTCTTTGACGCAGTAGGGTCCTGAAAATCTGTTTTGTAAAGGTGAACCTGGGATAGGGAAATAAGCAAGGACGAAGTCTCCCGGCTTGAATTTTCTTACTTTGCTGGTCTGGTCGTAATGAGTCTTCATTCTCACCTGGGCTTTCAATAGATTATCATGGGCAAAGCGGTGGACTCTCTCTAGAATGTGTTGAAGGTTTTGAAGAAACTGGGGCACATTCTGATGCTCACTGAAGGTGGCATCTCTGAGAGAGTCTTTGAAAGCCTTAAGGGGAGTACGGCACTTACGGCCGTAGAGCATCTCATAAGGAGATACTCCTAGGGACTCATTGGGGAGACTTCTGAAAATACACATTATTAGGTCAATCTGCTTATCCCAATCCTTTGAGGTTTCACTACAAAACTTTTTCAAGAGTGCTTTGATGGTCTGATGACTACGTTCAAGAGAACCCTGTGAAGCAGGATGATAGGGGCTGGACAATACCTGTTTGATGTTGAACTCCTCCAGTGTCCTTTTGAAGAGATCACTGGTGAAGTTGGTGCCACAGTCACTTTGAATCTCCCTGGGAAATCCGTATTGAGTGAAGATCTTCAATAGATGTTTGATAACCGTAGCAGCCGTGATGTTCTTCACTGGAACTGCTATGGGAAATCTGGTGGTAGGACACAGGATGGTTAGGATGTAGGCGTTACCTGAACTGGTCCGAGGTAAAGGACCAACACAGTCTATTATGAGTCTGTGGAAAGGTTCCGCAGGCACCTGTATGGGAATCAGTGGTGCTCTGGGAATGGAGACGTTCGGTTTGCCTGCCATCTGACATGTATGACACTGTTTTACGTACTGTTTGACGTTGTTTACCATACCTGGCCAGTAGTAGTCTTGACGAATCCCATGGTAAGTCTTGTTGAAGCCGTAGTGGGAGAATGCTCCGTGGGCCAGGTGTAGAATAGTGGGCCGCAGGCTGGTGGGAATCACAAGTTGTTCGATGTTGGCCCAATCGTCCTCCTCCTTCAGTTTACTGGGTCTATATCTGCGGTAGAGCAAGTCGTTCTCTAGGAAGAACCCAGGAATACTGTCGGGTTGAGTCTCAGCCTGGAAAAACAATGGTGTTAAAGTAAGATCTTCCCTCTGCAACTTACGGAACTCCAACTTGGTCAGATG